CTGGGGGAGGGGGCTAGGAGCAGGGGGCTGGGCCCCAGGACTAGGGTAGAGGAGAAGCTGACCTTGCCTCCTGCTGTCACTCCAGCTGCAGCCAGTGGAGCACTGGACTGAGGAAAGCCTGAAACCACTCTTGCCCACTAGAGGATGAGATAGGACCTGTCTGCCTGGGCTGCAAAATTCTGGCTGGCCTTGTATGGCGCAAGGATGGCAGGTAAAGTCAGAGGCACGGTGCTGGGAACTCGGTACTCCTCGGCACCAGTGCTCCTGTCAGCTGCTTGCCACTGAGAACTCTGCCCTCCACGTCACTCCTTAGCAGTGTTCACTGTTTGAAATTGTAGACAGAAAAATGTCACCAGCTCAGCCCAGTATGTTGGCAGGCCCCAGTAACCCCAACTCCTCAGGAGGCTGGGACAGGGGGATTGCTGAGTTCGAGGCCAGCCCAGAATTCAGAGGCTCTGTCTGAAAAGAAAGAAGAGGGCCTTGGAGAGATGGCTCGCAGTTAGGAGGGCATCCTGCTCTTGCAGGTTCAGTTGCCAAGGCCCACAGGGTGGCTAGCAACCATCTGTAACTCCAGTTCCAGGGGGTCCAGTGCCCTCCTCTGACCTCCACAAGCATTGTGCGCAGAAGATGCACTAACATACATGCAGGCAATACACTCATACATATGATATAAAAATAAAAATTTAAGAGAAAAAAACAAGGGAAAAAGAAAGGAACAGCCCTGGCCAGTGGACTGAAGTCACATGGCCACCCAGAATCAGGCCTGGCATCAGCCCTTTCGAACTCCAGCCCAGCCTGCAGTTCCTAAACAGCATTCTGCAACCGTCTTAATTCCGTGATGCCTGGGAACTGCAGAGCTGGGTCCAGTGTGGGATTTCTGAGCTGCTGTCCTGTTTGGAGCCTGTCAGAACATTGCCTTCAAAGATGGGGACATGCCTTCCTGAATTTCCCCGAGCCCCCCCCCACCCCCCACCCAAGCCCTTGTGAATACAGCCAAAGGTTGACAAGCGTAGGTCAGACTCCAGGGGAATCAAGCTGACTGGGCCAGGACAGCCGATGGTCCTCCAAGGCAGTGTGGGACTCTGGGCTGAGGCACATCGCCGTGTGCCAGGCACTGTAGGAGGCGTGCCAGCAAGAACAGTTGTCCCGCCTTCAAAGCCCTGTCCTTCCTCACTGGGTCCCCACCTGCCCACACAGGTGGACAGAAGTTGGAACATAAGGAAAAGCAAAGACAGACTTGGGAAAGCCGGGGTCTGGGGCTACTGACAAACCAGATGGTGATGGGGGGTGGGGGGTGGAGAGATGTGTTGGGAGACCTCTGTTATGCAAAAGTCGAAGCCCCTTCACACCGGCCAGCTCATGCAGCTCGGGAATGTGCTGCGGTGGACATCAGTTTTTCCAACATTGAAGTGGCCGCCACAAATGCCCTGACATAAACATGGCCTTTGGCTCTGAAAAGATACCATGCCTTCCTGTAATTTTCCTAGCAGACAACTGTCTGGCAGAAATCCACTTCCACATGTAAATAGAATGTCTCACAAAGCATCTAGCAGCCAGAGCTTTTACCACTACCCCCATGGTATAAAATATCCTAGCCTTCTCTTAATATTGGGAATTGGGATATTGGGACATTGGGATATTGGGATTTGGGATTTTGGGATTCTGGGTCTCAGAGATTGGGTCCCAGAGAAAATGAAGCTGTAAGCACAGACTAAGCCGAGCCTTGAGTCTTGTGTACTGGTGACCTGATTCCCCTGGAGGGTAGCACCTTCCGTTACCGACCCACGGATATCCAGTTTGGCCATCTCCGTGCCTCTTCCCTGTGAGGTTCAGTGGCCAGGAACCCCACAATCCTGAGGAAAGGTACATGGGTGTAGTAGGGATGGGATTCAGGCTGGACAATGCTCCAGTAGCAGAGCGAGCTCCCAGCACCAGAGAAGTTACGACAGCCACCAGCTGCCGTCACTCCCAGAGACGCGGGACCCAAAGCAGCTGCCGGAGAAGTCTCCGGATCCACAGCTCCCCAAAGCAGTCTGCGGACCCACAGGGAGTGAGCGCACCCTGCGCCCAGAGAGAGCGCAGTCGCCCATAGAGATGGCTCAGCAGTTAAGAGCACTGACTGCTCTTGCAAAGGACCCAGGTTCAGTTCCCAGCACCCACACGGTGGCTCACAACTGTCCTTAACTCCAGTTCCAGGAAAACTAATGCCCTCTTCTGACCTCCACAGCATTGCATGCACATGGTGCAGTTACACACATGCTGGCAAAACACTCATACACAATTTTTTTGGTCTTTTTGAGACAGGGTCTCCCTGTAGCCCCAGCTGTCCTGGAACTCACTATGTAGACCAGGCTGGCCTTGAACTCACAGAGATCTGCCTGCCTCTGCCTCCCAAGTGTTGGGACTAAACCCGTGTGGCAACCATGCCTGGCTATAAATAATTAAAAAAAAAAAAAAAAGAAAAGAAACCAGATGGGAAGTAAAGATCTGAACTAGGCTTGAGAGGTCAGAGCTCTGAACACAGCAGCCAAGCGTCATCTGCCTTTCCAAGTGCTTTCATCAGAATCCAGGGTTCTAAGGACTGGAGAGATGACTCAGCAGTTAAGAGGGCAGCCTGCCCTTGCAGATTCAGTTCCCAGCACCTACATGGTGGCTTACAACCACCTGTAACACCAGTTCCAGGGGATCTGACTCCCTCTTCTGGCCTTCATGGGCACCTGCACATATATGTGCACGCACACACACACACACACACACACACTTTTTTTTTTTTTTGGTCTTTTTAAGATAGGGTCTTCCTGTAGCCCCAGCTGGCCTGAAACTCACAGAGGTCTGCCTGCCTCTGCCTCCCAAGTACTGGGATTAAAGGCATGTGCCACCACACCCAGCTTACACAAATATATCTTTTAAAATACCTCTGAACTAGGGTCCAGAGAGGCTCAGTGACTTTTCCAGGGACACACAGCTAGGGCATGGCACTCCTGACCCCAAGGCTGAGGGCTCTTCCATGTGAACCTGGCTTCATGGCTTGGCAGTCATTTCTGCAGGAGTGCAGAAGGGTCCTTGAGTTTGAATTTTAGTTGGAGGGGTTTTTCAATTTTTTGTTACATTTATTGTGCGTGTGTGTGTGTCTGTGTGTTTGTCTGTGTGTCTGTTTATAAGTGCATGCATGCCATGGCAAATGTGTGGAAGTCAGAGGAAAACAGGAGTCAGTTCTCTCCTTCTACCACAGGGACCTGGGGGCTGAACTCAGGCTGCCAGGCTCGGTGACAGACATCTTTGCCTGCTGGACCTTCTCGCTGGCCCAGTGGAGCGGTGGCTTCCTTTTGCTGCTTTGAGACAGGGTCTCTCCATGTAGTCCAGGCTGGCCTCAAACTTTCAGTCCTCCTGCCTTCGCCTCCCAGGGGCTAGGATCATAGGCATGTGCCACCATGCCCAGCCCGGGAGACTCAGTGGGCATCCTGGTTTTCAGAGGCCGTGTGGGGTCAGTCTGGGGTTGGAGTGGCACTCACAGGAAGGTGCAGGACCATCGAGGAAGACTGCCTCTTGAAATGGCTCAGGCCCGAGATGCTGATTCGCTCTATAAAGCAGGTGATCCCTTTCCTCACACTGTTCTCCTGGTAGGCTGAGCCCCAGAGACAACAGAGAGCTGCAAACTATAACTTCATAAGACAAGAACACAGCTGGGGAGCGTCAGGGCTGGACAGGAAAGCAGTAGGCAGAGGGTGTCTCCCTGCACCCCATTCCCGTCTACCATGTTGCGCTGCTCTGCCTGCCTGGACCCACTGCAGCCTCCTGCCCCCCACTTCTGCCCTGTCTCCTCTCATCCTCACCTTGCACCTGCTCAGCAGCCAGAGCTCCCATGAAGGAAGATGCCATCATGCCACCCACCCTGAAAGCCCCTCAAGGCTTCTTGCTGAGGTCCACAAAACCTCATTTCAAATTCTCCTGCCACCAAATTTCTGATGTCAGCTCTAGCTGCTCTCCAACCCTCCATGACCTCCAGCCCCAGCGGCTGCCAGTGCCTGGACCAGCCCAGCCCTTCCTTGCCTGCCCTAGAGCCGAGCTAAGCAGCCCCACAGTGCTCCACTCAGAGCAGCATGCCTGCAGGGTGGCACCTGTCTTTGCCAGGGTGGCCCTTTGAGCTGCCTTCGTCCCCACTACCTGGCCACTGTTTGGCCTGACTACTAGTTGATTCCCTGCCCCATGAAAACACAACCCCTCATAGAGATGCCTGCCAGCCC